GCGTATCGCGTCCCAGCGGAGGGTGTTAAAGGCGTTGGCCACGTCAAGGCTCACAGCCAACGCCACCCCCCCCCCGGGAGACCGCCAGCTCCGCGACGGCACGGACGCGCTCGATAGCATCGAGCGTCGACCGGCCCCCGCGGAAACCAAACTGGCAGTCGGCCAGTCCGGGACCACCCGCGGACAGCCCCCTCGAGAGGCGGGCAGCGAGCACGTGCTCGAAAAGCTTACCCGCCTCGTCGAGGAGGCATATCGGTCGGTACGCCGAAGGGTCGTCGGCGGGCTTGCCCTTCTTCGGGACCAGGGTCAGCCGTCCCCGCTTCCACGCGAGCGGGACCCGCCCAGACATCAGGCAGCCGTCCAGCAGCCGCCTGAGTCTGGGCCCGAAGACGCGCAGGGTACGCCGTGTACCATGGCCTTACCTGGCCGTACCATCCGTGTTTGGGTCGTTCATGGAGGAAGGTCGTTCAAACCGGCAAAAACAATTCAACTCGAACAAACGTAACAAAGAAACTAGCTGTTGCGTAATAACCTACGTACGCCCAAAACATAACGGCGGTAACTTCTTCACTTTCTCGTGAGCCGTCGCGGAGGGTGGGCGCGAGACTCATACTCGTCCTATCTTTTGTTACTAACCCATTGTGTGTTGCAGGCATTCGACAACCACCGTATAAAGGAACCTGTTATTTACTGTGCATATTATTAATCTATTTACTGTGCATATTGTTGTGTCCCCTCTCTTGTTACTAATCCCTTGTATGTTACAGATGTTCGAGACTTCGATATGTATTTTCTTATGTACTGTGATTCATTTACTGTTATTTATTTATTATGATTTCTATACTGTGATTTATTTACTGTGCATATTATTAATCTATTTACTGTGCGTATTGTTGTGTCCCCTCTCTTGTTACTAATCCCTTGAATGTTACAGATGTTCGAGACTTCGATATTTATCTTCTTATGTACTGTGATTCATTTACTGTTATTTATTTACTGTGATTTCTATACTGTGATTTGTTTACTGTGCATATTATTAATCTATTTACTGTGCATATTGTTGTGTCCCCTCTCTTGTTACTAATCCCTTGAATGTTACAGATGTTCGAGACTTCGATATTTATCTTCTTATTCGATATTAATCAGTTATTCCATCGAAAGAAGACATCGATCAATGTTTACATCCTCAAAGCGTCTACCACTGCGTTAAGTTACTGTAAGTTAAACTTAAATCGTAATTCGATATTCATTGTTATATTCATATCATCACATCGTAATGATAATTATTATTATTAATTTTAGTCTATCTATTAATAGACTTAAATTGTGACCATCCATTGTGCATACCAAGTTATTATTCATTCATTTTGCTCGTTGATTCTCTACACAGACTTGGGGTACGGGCAGTGGGTCTGTACCTAGGGTACGGGCAGTGGGTCTGTACCTAGGGTACGGGCAGTGGGTCTGTACACTAAGACTGTTTGCCGATCCCTCTCGTTTCTATTGAGAAGCCAGATATCGGACGTGTTTAGCCTGGTAAGTAGGATTTGGAGAAAGATTCGTGCGTGCAAGGGTACGGAGTAGATGGGAATCTGCGCAGTAAACAGAGAATCTCGCTTGCACTAACATGCTTGTGTACTCCTTTGGTTCGGGTCTGGTACGCAGGTGACCAGCCCAAAGCTCCATGGCAGTAAAAGATGGATCCGGGTTCGCGAGGTGTCGCCTGTCTTTCCCATTTTCTTAAACCAGGCTCTGGCGACAACACTTGCATTGCGATACTTGTTCATACTGTAGTTTAACGTGGTTCATCGTAGACTTAATAACTGCTTGGTATATAGAATATTAGGTGCGTAAACGAAATGATCGATGGAACTTTTTCCATTCCGTCTATCTCTTTCGTTTGAGTATTAGCGACTACGTTGCGTTTAGTTTAAGTTATTTTGTATTAATAGCATTAATTCGTATTAATTAGAATATTAAGATAATATTAGTTCTAACAAGAAGGACGAAGACAACCGACGAGGGAACTTAGTTTTTTATTGGTTTAGGCTCAAGAAAGAAGTCATCCGCCGAGGGATTTTAGTACCGATAGTATTACATAGTTAAGATTTAAGTTATTTATAAGGTTTATTGTGAAAGGTGGGAAGATGTAGAACTTGTGATTCCATCTACCTGCCTTGGGCCTCCACTCGCAGCAACCTCCTCGTGGTGAGGCCTGGGCAATCGGTATTATCATCGGTAAAGTACTGTAAACTGATGACAATATCGAGCTAATGGCTGCGAACTTCGAATCTATCTCATAAAACCACGTTCTATATTATATCGAACTAGGATTATTTTAGAAATCGATATAAGATTCAAAGTGTAAAAATGTCTAGTACTTTGAATGTTTTAGAAAAGTATTCGAGATAAAGATGTATGGAACTACTGAAAATTACTTTCGATTCCTTTTCCCTATTCTGTAATTCTTTGATTGGAATATGAATGTTGCTGGAAGTATGAACATTTTCACAGGACAATGATATAAATGGAACTTTAAAACTTTTTTAAGTGTTAGAGTGATATTTCGTTATATGTTCCATAATGTCAATAATATTGATTTCCCCGCAACATCCATAATTATTACAAATGTCAATATAACGAAATATCTTTTATGCGATGTTTGTGGTATAATCAAAATCTGTGTTTCGATTACGTTTTTGATACATATTACTTATATGTAATAATATAGAATAAAAATATACTATTACTTGGATATTTGAAAATATACATGCGTTCATTGTCACTGTTAAACTGTTTTAGTAACAATGGAATAATAAAATAATTTACTCAAATGTACATAATAATACATATAGATATTCATAAAAACAATATGAAACGCAATAACTTTTTTGTACGCTGAAAAAAACCATTAGGTCCGTCGGGACTGAAACCCAAGACTCCTTTCTAATACGCTTACTTTACAGTGAACGGACGGAAAAGAATCCGTTCACGATCATGGTCCCTTCGATGATTTTCCGACGTACCGAACACTCATGATCTGACAACATTGCGTACTTTAGACTCGACAACAATGTAGAAGTTAGACTAGTTGAGCTCGAATGGATAGAACGTAGTTAACAAATTTACCGTTTTCATAACGTAGAGGGCAGCAGAAAATCCCTGACTTTTTACACTATCGTTATTTCAGAAAATGAGACACGAAGTCCCATAAGATGATAGGTCTATCCTATACCTAGTCGGTGCTACTATCATCTTATGGGACTTCGTGTCTCATTTTCTGAAATACCGATAGTGTAAAAAGTCAGGGATTTTCTGCTGCCCTCTACGTTATGAGAACGGTGAATTTGGGACCTACGTTCTATCCATTCGAGCTCAACTAGTCTAATTTCTACATTGTTGTCGAGTCTAAAGTACGCAATGCTGTCAGATCATGAGTGTTCCGTACGTCGGAAAATCATCGAAGGGACCATGGTCACGAACGGATTCTCTTCCGTCCGTTCGCTGTAAAGTAGACGTCTTAGAAAGGAGTCTTGGGTTGTTGTCTCGACGGACCTATTAGTTTTTTTTAGCGTACAAACAAGTTATTGCATTTAATATTGGTTTTATGAATATGTATATGTATTATTATGTACATTTGAGTAAATTATTTTATTCTTCCATTGTTATTACAACAGTTTAACAGTGACAACGAACGCATGTATACTTTTATTCTATATTATTACATATAAGTGAATAATATGTATCAAAAACGTAATCGAAACAGAGATTTTTATTACACCATAAACATCGCATAAAAGATATTTCGTTATATTGACATTTGTAATAATTATGGATGGTGCGGGGAAATCAATATTATTAACATCATGGAACATTTTTTTGTCTGCAGCCAATTTTGAAACGAAGTACGTGATCATTTTGTGATACACAGTGTGGCTCATTGTAACACGTGATTTGGAAATGTCTTTATTACCGGAAAATAGGACGGTATTTAATTCTTAGAAACTATTTCAACGTAAGGGGACTTTGACTTAGGTGCAATTATACGCGCGTCGAATACATTATTGTCCGATTATTTCAAAAGGGGTTGTTAGGAATTTCCCAGATTTTGAAAGAAGCATTTTAGCCGCCCAAAGAAATTAATATACTGTGAATGAAGAAAGTCCATATTGAGGACGGGACACTTGTGACATTATTTACGGGACAAAAAGAAACGACTATGTGTTGTATGTACATGCATATTATCCATGCTCACCGACATCAAATCAATAAAATGCATATGCGTGGACCAGCGTAACAAAAAAATCTAATTTTGAAAATGCTTTTCAAATTAATATCTTCCAAGTTTTCATTTTACTGTACGTAACATATTAATGTAACGGATTTTTCTTCCAATGTTTTCATATGTATGTACTGCAATAGTTAGAAAGAAGGTAACATCTAATTATAAGAATAATTTGTGTATATATAAGAGAATATGTATTTGTGTAACATAAAATTTAAATATTAAAGAGGAATAAAAACATCTCCCATTTTTTTAAAATGTTTCTTAAATCAATATCTTCGAAGTTTCTATTTTACTAACATATTACAAAATGAAATTATACAATGATTAAAAATAAAAAGTAAAACCGTCGGATCGGGATACGAACGGGGTTTCGGACGGGGTCTTCATCATGAGCGCGTAAGAGAAATCATACAGCTCTCGGCGTTTAGGACGTAAACTTTAGGTTGCTTGGGATTTGGGATTTTTGACCTGGCTTGGGCCACTCGCCCGTCGCATCGTAAACGTGTGGCGTAAGGCTTTTGAAAAGGCACACGAAGCAGAGCGCACACGGACACAGGTAGAAAATGCTTGGCGGGGAGCGCAGAGTAGGACGTAGTGGGGGTAGAGCTCACGGACAGGCTAGATGTGCTTGTGTAGAATACCTACGGGAGGCATGGAGAGGGTATGCGCTCGCGTGAAAATCCCACGATTCTGGCATCAGTACTATCCAATATCCATCACTATCCATACACAATCCATACACTATTCATACGTGTCGTTAAGGTTCCTTCAAAACAAAGTAAATTGTGTTCACATTTAAAATAATAGACTCTAACTTCTTTTATATTTATGTAAACCAGAATAAGAAATGTTTCGTTCAAAGGTATGTCATGTTTCTGCTCATTCTATTAGTGTAAAAGAGGTTAGGACTAATCAAAGTTGTTTTTTTCTATTTAGATACCAACTTTTTTACGAAATACAATAACCAACAATTTACATCAAGATGGATATATCAATTTACTACCATGTTTAAAATTTGCAGCGCGATATTCAGAGGTAAAGTCAAATAATATTGTATAATTGTTTAAACGATATTAGATATTTGTATAGGTACCACAATTACTTCCCTCAATTCATACTTTGTACATTTCTCAAGTAGTTTAAATAAACATATATAAAATTAAACTTATGATTAATTACATATGTAGTAACAGTAGTATTTACTCGATTATACATGTTCATTTGAAATAGAATTGAAAGTACAGTCTTTAAAAAAAAAGAACAAATTTTGCAGTTGCATTTAAGTTTGTTACACTTAATTAAGCTACATTTAAATTCTATTAATTTATATATTTTTGCAAAATATTTAATTTAATTTTTTTATATAAATAGAAGACATTAATATTACTTACATTGATAATTCTTAGTCTATTACTGTAATTTATAGTTTTCTCAGATAAATGTAATTATTAGGCCATAATGCAGGTTTTTAAAGCTTTCTTACATAAATGTTAACCTAATATCCATATAGTTCTATACCTTACAATAATCAATTAGATATGCATTTAAATAGAGTTAGAGTCTTAATATATTAAGTATAATAAGGAGAGTAAATTATACACATCTTTTTTAATTAATATTTCCCTATACATAGAATTAATTTAAACTATAAGTAACTTAAAGTACTTAACAAGTATAGATTTTAGTAAAGAAAAAAATTCGTTCGAACTGAGTGAAGATTATTTTTGTCATGAAAGTATTATGTATCTGGTGTAATAAAAGTTGTTAATCAATATGCAGTTTTTATTTAAATTCGTACATATCGTACCTCCGCAATGAAAGTGTCACAAGTTCAAGTCTAATACTTCAAGCGACATGGTGCTAGTGTTGATTTGTTTCATGTATGAAGTACCATGTGAATGAATCGATTTTTTTTCACTCTTTCATAAAATTACACATTTTCGACTTATGACACTCTTTTTGCAGGTGTGCAATATATATGTTTCTGATATATAGGGTGTCTCAGCTAACTTGATCACCTCAAATAATGACTTAACGGTACACTTACGAAAATTTTGAAGCATGGAACTCAAATGGCATCAAGAAGCACATCTTATAAGGTGCGTGCTTTTTTTGTTGGTGGAGGCATTTTAGAGATTTCAAGGTCACTTTGATTTTTTTAACGGAATGACCTATATTTTGTAACAGATCGATATAGTATCAAATTCTGAGTAAAAATGTGTCCTTCATACGTCCTAAACCTCACAGTTAACGAGATATTTAAAATAATTTTTCATACGTACTTACTATCTGTTAGCTAAGGTGCTCGAACTGATGCGCCTCAACTTTCATACAGTGCTTATTTTGTGAATATCTCGTTAACTATTAGGTTTAGGGCATATGAAGGTCAACATATTTTTACTCAGAATTTGATACTCTATCGATCTATGGTGCAAAAAATAAGTCATTCCGTTAAAAGAAATCAAAGCGACTTTGAAATCTCTAAAATGCCTCCACCCATAAAAAAAGCATGTACCTTATAAGATGTGCTTTTTGATGCCATTTGAATTCCATACCTCAAAATTTTTGTAAAATGTACCGTTAAGTCATTACTTGAGGTGATCAAGTTAGCTAAGACACCCTGTATGTATTAACCATTGATTAAATTGTTAATTAAAGTGTATTCATGCTTATAAATGCTTCATTTTGGTAAAAGTCATATAAGAACTCTCTTAAATTATATAAGGTTCTTGTATATTATAAATCTATAAAATCTGCACTTCAGTGATTACATTTACACATTTATTCATACTAGTATTCAGGAAACATGGAATTAAAAGAAATACTTCTTAATGTTTACAATTGTTTCCTAATACAAATCACATTTTTTAATTATTATATTGCAGTCTGCTTCTGATAAATTATACAAGAAATTAGAAATTGAAGTCAGAGGAAATGACCCTGCTGTTTTAAAAAGTTACGGAGAATTTGCTGTTATGGCAGCTAAAAATCTAGGTATTATTATTGGTAAAAAGTAAGTTATAGTGTAAAAATGTATGCTTAAACAATTATCTATTAAAGATTAAATCATATAATTCAAATCAACAGTGTTACAGGAGGAAAACCAATTCACGAGAGGTTATCATTACTGAAATCTGTTCATGTTCATAAAAAACATTTTGTACAATATGAAAGGCGAACCTATTATAGGTATGTTGATTTCTTTAAATTAACGGGTTCAACAGCAGATACCTTCTTAGAATATATACAGAGGAATCTACCAGAAGGAGTGGCAATGAAAGTTACAAAGGTACAACTTGAATTACTTATTTTGTAGTATTTTTTTAGTGTATAAAAAAGACTGAACATAATTTATGTTTGACAGCTTGAATTGCAACCTTTACCTGAATCAGTTGTACAAGCATCTCATTCAGCGTAATGAAATGAAGCAGTTTATGTCATTATTGTTATTGTACTAAATATTTAAATAAATTACATACAATTGTAAAATCTACATTTTATTTCTTTCCAGTTCATGCTTTTAATACTACATATATACAGGCTGTCTCAAAAATGTCTCTCTTCCCGGAAATGCGGGGTTCCTGAGATGATTTGAAACAACTTTGTCCTTAGTGAAAATGTTATCCGAGGCGTTGTTAACGAGATATTAACGAAAAACCCCAACCAATCAGAGCGCGAGTTTGCCAGCGGAGTTCCCGCGCTAGCGTGGCTACGCGCTACGCTTGTACTATGGAGCTCCAAACAAGCAAGTCGGCATGCATGCCAGAAAACTACATATAATAGCAAATAAAACAGACGAAACAAATAAAAGCATACTTTTTATCATCTTTCGTTTGTTACTTAGCAGGAAAATTATGTGTAACGTAAAAAGACGAATGTACAGTTAGTTTTTTAAACAGAATGTAAATTAATAATTATTTGAAGAGAGGCTCAGTAATTTGTAAATTCTTTTTTCAAATAACGTATTACCGAAAAGGTATTGTAACAGAAAATGAACGAGAAGTGATCGTAGTTCGTTATTGAGATAAAAATCCGTAGTTTAATAACGGGCAACAATGTTATTGATAATGAATAAGTTATTTTAAAAAGCCCGAATAAACATTTAGGTACAGAAACTTGCAGTAGTATGACCAGAAATAAGTCATATCTTGCGTTAAGTTAACAAAATAATAATTAGCAATAAATTGATTAAAACTCACCCTTTCGGAAATTCATCTGCAGTTTGCAAACCTGTATCACTAGGTCATTGAACCGATCCTGGTCATCGACGACCGAAACGGTTTATGGCAGGGTATCGCACAGTTCGTAGGTGATCGCAAGTACACCTCACCAGCCGAAATTAAGGGTTGTAACGTCAAAGTAAGGTATATTTGTGTAAATTATAAATTATTATTGACACATTGATATTGTTTTTAACCTCATTGAAATAATCTAGAGTGGTAGCGGTACGATAATCGACCGTAATAGCGGAACGCCTGCTTCTTTTACCATCTAGGGATGTTTTCACTCCTTCAACGTAGATGAGAACAGCTAAAAAGAAATACGTATCAAATATTTTTATGAAAACTACAGTCTCACAGAATTGTATAAAAATCGGAAATTATTAATTCGGGATGTTCCCTTGTGACTCCACGTCTGCTACGAGGCCGAAGCCATTAGGCCGTAAATAACCCACACGTCCGCTCCAGCCTCTGCTAAGGTGCTCGGACAGGGCCAAGCAGCGAGCCAAAGGGCCAAAGAGCGAGCTGCTCCTCGAGGAAAACGTGTTTTCTGCTTTCCATTCCGAAGCAATGGGTATCGTTTCAATAAATTAACGGAACCCGCGCGTCGATGAAATTGCACGACGATTCGTTCGTTGTACTTCTGCAAAGCACGTGTTTTCCTAGAGGGGCAAGAAAATCCTACCCTTATTTCTTTTTACCTAAATCTTGTTGCCACGGTGGGAGTGAACTCACAATGTAACGATGGGAAACTACTTGGGGGTAGAGGAAGCCCTTTCGGAAAAATCCTGTCAGTCGGTTAGCAATCGGGCGACAGAGATGTTCAGTTCACGGTTCTGGTGGTACGTACAGAATAACGGATATGCGGGTGCTGCTGTACAAGTGTTTGGCTACGTGAAATATTTGATAAATTGAAAACAATCGGCCCTTTCCGGGGCCACGAATTTTCTTAACATAGGAACAACACGTTGGATTAAAAATATATTAAGTGATTGTGTCGGGTGATCAGTGTTAGTGGTCGTGCGATCGATTGCCCCGACGTTCAAACTCCCTTAGCTAAATCTAATAGGTAGGGATGGGACGATCCTAATGATTCTCCGCCCCCCGCGTGAGTACTTCTCCTGCCTCCATGTAGCCCGCGCCTAAAAAAGTTGGTCGGGTTGGAAAACCGGGGGTAACAGTATCCTCAGGTAATGCCCACCGCAGTCCTATTGCAGGGCTGTGTGATATCTACCGACTTTACGTCACAGATGGGCCTTGGGGGGGAGTAGCGAAACTCCCTCCTCCCGGGAGAAACGAGCCAAACTAAACTAAACTAAACTAGGGTAGATCCTAAGTTCAACCATAAACCGTTTCGGCAGTCGATACGGCTAGTGACACAGGTTTGCAAACTGCAGGTGAATTTCCGAAAGGGTGAGTTCTAATGAATTTATTGCTGATTATTATGTTTTTAATTTAACGCAACCTATGGCTTATTTCCGGCAATAATTCTGCAAGTTTCTGTACCTAAATTTTTTTTCGAGCTTTTTGAAGAACCTTATTCATTATCAGTAACATTGTTGCCCGTTATGAAACTACGAATTTTTATACCAATACCGAATTACGATCACTTCTCGTTCATTCTCTGTTACATTACCTTTTCGTTCACACGTTATTTGAAAAGGAAATTTGCAAATTCGTAAAAAGGAATTTACAAAAAAGTAAATGTGCATTCGTCTTTTTACGTTACACATAATTTGCCTACATTTACGTTTCTTTCATTAATCTCTTCAAATAACAAACGGCAGATGATTAAAAGTATGATTTTATTTGTTACGTCTTTTTTATTTGCTATTATACGCAGTTTTCTACGATGCATGCTGACTTACTTGTTTGCAGCTTCGTAGTACAAGCGTAGCGCGTAGCCACCGCTAGCGCGGGAACTCTGCTGGCAAATTCGCGCTCTGATTGGTCGTGGTTTTTCGTTAATATCTCGGTAACGAAGCCTCAGATTACATTGTTGCTAAAGAAAAAGTTGTTCCAATTCACCCCCCCCCCCTCGAGTGTCCCATTTCCGGATCGGAGGACATTTTTGGGACACCCTGTATACAAATGCGTGGGCGGCACCGTCGAGAACGATGACGAGGGGGAACAAAATGCGAATCGCGAGCCACCAGTTTACGCGATACAGGTTACTGCGTTATCGACGCTGCTCGTCGCAACACGTATTTTAAACGACTGCTTCAGTCCTAATCCAGGCCTGTTTAAGACGCCTTGAAGGCGCCTTGATTTGTCACATTAGGCAGTCAGAAGCTGTGCCTAAGCTGTTTGTAAGTTATTCACGACGCCTGAAACCGACTGGAACGGCTGAAACAGGCGTCTGTAAGCCGTCGTGAAGCCGTCTGGGTGCTATCTTATTCTTCTTGTTTGCTTCATGTGAATCTTCATTTCATTAAATTTGTTTTTCAAATAGGATTTTATAATTAATTTTACCGTTGATTTATCATTAATTTTTCCTTCAAATAAATTTCAATTTTATTTTGTAATTTTTTTTAAATAATTAAAATAATGCACACTGTAGATGCATGTTTGCATGGAATATCAATATAATGGTAAAAATGAAAAAATACTATTTATTATCGATAAAATTATACAGTTTTATAGATAATTAAGCAGTGGATACAGCCTTATCGACTTGCATAGTTCATACAGAATTAGACACACAACTGTATGTGAAATAGTGCACAAAGTCTGAAAGGCAATTTGGATAAATTTAAAAACGGAATGCATTCCTGAATTTACAGAAGGAAAGTGGCTTGAAATTTCCTCGCACTTCGAGCAACGTGCAAATTTTCCAAATTGCATTGGGGCTATAGGTGGAAAACACATACGAATTTTAAAGCCAAAAATGAATGGTTCCCTTTATTATAATTATAAGCACTTTTATTCTGTAGTTTTATTAGCCGTAGTCGATTGTGATTATAAGTTCTTGTTTATAAATGTAGGGTCATTTGGTAAAGATTTCGATAGTACAATATTTCGAAATTCATCTTTTAATAGGCTCCTAGAAAATAATTTACTTAATATACCACGAGCAAGCCTTTACCGGGCAGTACAAATCATGTAGAGTAGAGTGGAGCAAAAGTTAGCAGTGTGCGTGTTTCGGTTATGACAGTTGACAGTAGCGATTGCCAGTTGACAAAAGAACGAGGTAGAGTTGTCAGCGTGGAATTGCGTAGGTGTGTGTCGTTTCGTTATCGTACAATGCGGTAAGTACTGAAGTCACTAGTTTCGATGTAATATTCTTATTTCTACGAATCAATTTTATCCGTATAAAGTGATCAGCAAATATTTTAATTAACATGTCGTCTGAAAGAGCTGAAATTCTTTGCAAGAGTACTAGTAGTAGTTTTCAGTTCTACTCACAGATGGCAAGATTGAGTAAACAATGCAAAGGTAGCTATGGGGGCAAGAGTTCGAATGCGAAGTTTTGCCTCAAAACAATTTGACGAGTGTTATATATTCATTAAACTTATTTTACTTCTAGTTTTTGCTACATTAGTATTGAAAACTGATTTTAGAAATTATAAGAGGAAATCGACCGGAAACCAAAAACAGGACGCAGGATTTTCGAAAAGAAGAATCGCTGCAAGACTTGGAATAACCGAAGCAGGTTTGAGAAAACGTCTGAAATAGGTGTGAGGACTTAAATATGAGAAATTATTAGTCACTACAAATAAGGGCAAAAGTTATACATACATATCTACTTTGTTCATTGTTGTAGGGCGTTGGAGTTACCAAGCTTGGGCGATTCGTTCCAGTATTTAATGAAGAACAAGCTAAAGATTTGGTCTCTCGTATTAAATCATTAGACGAATATTTTTATGGGCTGACCTTCAAAGATCTCTTGCGGAATCTAACAAGATACAGCATCCATTTAAAGCAGACACTAAACTTCCGGGTAATTACTGTTGACTACATTAAAACAATTAATGGTAAACTATTAGCTGTTTTGTTATATTGACATAATTGTTGTACGTAGGAAAATAAAATTTTTTTTTGAATATTTCTCGTTGCGTTCTTTTACCTCGTAATATGCAAACTTTTTGGTGTTATATCCTGTAATTTCATTTCCTCTTTTCATTGCACATTTTCTGGCCTTGCGAAATGACGGTAAGAAATGTCGACGCTAATCAACGACGATCACAAAATCCATCGCACGGTAAAGTGCTGCATCGACATTTCTCGCAGTGCGTTGCACCTGGAGACTGACGAAATCTTGACCCGATTTTCATAGGGTCATCAGGGCAATATAAGCACCACGAGACGCAACACAACGCTCTCATATTTCGGCAGTCGCGCTAGACGGTGCTTCGTCTACCTTTTTATTAAGCGCAATCGGCAAGCCGAGTGACAGCGGTCAATCAGCTGTTCAATATCGGGTTTCGCGACGCTTCCTATTTTTGTGCGATGCGACTTTGCGATTACGCGCGGCGTAACAGGCGAGTTCGATAAGACACCGGACCACGAAGTATGACGTCCAAAACGATGACAACGTATCCCGCAGTGCCCGACCCCTGCATCACGGCTCCCAGCGCCAGCAACTATTTCACTCCTTCAAGGACCCGAAATCCCGACTGAACCAGCCGCAAGCGTTAATCATTCATCATCATTGGTATGTTAAGATTTATTTGTATCTTTTATTTATCCCCTTGTTAGAATATATCTTTGTTGTTATCAAAACGAGAGTGATTTCCTATCCCTCCCGTTCTATATCCCAAATTACGTACTGCATCGGTAAGTCAAGACAGGGCGTGCTTTAGCACCTTAAGAGAGCCAGGACCCGTAATTATAAATAAAGTAACGACCGCAACGCGAGATGTAACATTGGAAATATTTTTTTTTATATGTTGTGACACTCAGATTTTGCAATTATTACCGATTTTGGAGAAAACAAGTTTTACAAAAGATTATTACCTCTGCAATTATTAAAGATATGATCTTGATCTTTATTTCATTTTAATTGTAAAGGATCATTCTTTGTAATCAATATATAATGGTGTGGATAAAACTATTCCAAATAATAGGAGTATGTGAATATTATGAGATCACGTTGAATGTCTTATCCTCTGTGACTCTTTGCCAGCCTTCTCACTCACAAACATCACCCGAAGGTCCTTTCGGGAACTTTCGCCTGTGCGTTCGGCACGGCCTACCATGCCGTTACAGATTACACAAGGAGGCTTCGGCAGACCCAGCTTCCCTAATGTGAGAGAACCTCGCGAGGCCAAGTCTCGAGGTAAATGTAAGGTTTAAAATATTCCCAATATGTCAACGTCTTGCTCTGGCTGTCTAGATACGTTTTCCGAGAACATCTGGAATAGATACGCTAGGCTCAAGTATTCAATATACAAATGGTGGGTAACAGAGGAAGGACGATGGAGAAGTCAGCCTCGTCGACGGGGCAACGATCAACGTGGCTCTTGCATTTTTGTAGCAGTGGTATTAGTTTTTGAGACGTTGAAGGAGACACATCGAGTCGTGTATTATTGAGTTTTCGTGATGCGCCTATTGTATCAATTCAATCCAAATTGTGAACAAATATAGATTGTGAAAGCATATTAGCGTACATAAACCTTACCGTGTATGGGCTGCTTAAGCTTCTCAAGGGTGAAATTCAAATTGAAGTATGCGATTGTAATTAGAAAAGGAGGCAGTCGAATTTCGCTTTTACTCCGTCTGCAAAGTATATTAAATTGAATAATAGAAAATCAATAGCTGAAGGAAATGTATTAACAGATCAGAAATTATTTCATAATCTAATAATTATTTTATTGTCTCCTGGTATCTAAGGACATATTGTAATTAACAAATGTAACAAAAACGATCGTTTTGTAAAGGAGACCATTCCAGTATTGACCTTCGATCAATAAAGACGTGTTTTTTTGCAATCAAAGTTGTCTTCCTTAAAGAAGTCCAGAATTTCCTCACGAGCCGAGTTCTTCAGGACTCCACGGGCGAGGATACGCGCTTGATTATGAGTCAAAAAGAAATTTCCGGAAAAGGTTACAACACATCTGTTCTAGCTGGGAACAGACCACACTCGAATGTAATCAATCTCGAAAGTCGTCATTTTACCAGTTTCTTCTTTCCATGTTGGTAACCAGTCATTCTTTGCGTTCCAAAACTGTAACATTGCCTGAAATACGTTAATTTGATTATTGCTGGACCATTAATACGTTCTTGGCTGAATTTATTAATTCATGGTCGGTTACCTATCATTAAAATTGTTCATTGTTTAGACGCAAAATAATACAATGAGATCAATTTTTATATTTCATACGCGCATAATTAATTATTATAATTCTTCAAAAATTGTCATTTTTTGTCTCATATAAATGAAAGTATAAATTCACGCATATAAAACAACAAACCCAAAATAGCACATGACACTTCGAAGACACCCATTTTACGGCTATCTTAGGTCTAAGGCGTCTTTAAGCCGTCTTCAAGACGTCATTAGACGTGATGTGCTACCTGGATGTTCATTAACAAATTATAACAGAAATTGTTTTCAATAATTAATTGTTGCTTTTTTACAGTTAATCAAATGAAATATTCTTTTTTTTGTGATTGAAGAGATTTTGTATAAACTTGTGCTCTATTTTTTCATACATATATATAGATATTACACAATTTGGGTCATATTTACTTATGATTTATCAGAATCGATAATGAACTAATATGAACTATTAACACTTTCTACATGAGTAAATATTATCCAAATTATGTCGTATTTAGTATCATTTTAGTCAGAAAAATCTCACCAATATACTAGTGAAAGTTTCATTAACAACGAATCAAAAATAAAAAAGTTTCATCGTTGCATTAGCATTGTCTCGCGCGCCGAGCAACAATGTATGGGCTCAATAGACTCGACAGACGAAGCGGGGGAATGTACGACGATGAGTCGAAACGTTCAATCGTCAGTGACTGCCCAGAGAGCTGTCGACGAATAAAATGCAGCTGGGTCACCTCCATTCTTACGTCTTTTTATTATTGGCCGAAACGATACACACACACACACAAGGAATGTGTGGTCGGCTATAATGTAACTGTTTTTTACTGGCTTGTCCTTCTCTACGTCCGGAATACTACAAAAGCGAGTGCCGAGGCTCGAGTTTCGGGAAAAAAACGTATTCACGGGGGTCAGAAGCGTTTCGCGTGGTCCACGATTATAGTCCCTGCGCGGACCCAAGTTCGGGACAATAATCGAAAGAGCTCTGTAAGTTGCAAATCTTTGACATTTCAACTAATCATATTATGTCCTTTATTCGAAGTAAGTTTCGTTCGTACGTGGTAACAATAAGTGAAGTATGTTACATTATGCTACAGTCCACAACTTACCTCACTTCTAGTGAATAAAGCAACATATTACTAATTGGTATTATACACCCATTAATGCATTTTAATAGCATATAAAAATTGTATCTAAGAATTTCAACGACATTTCCAATGATCATTCTTCATTATATTATAAATATAAGCAATATATTTTGATGAGTCGTATTACAATTTATAAAATTAGAATTCACTAAAACACAAAATAAGTAAAATATTTTTTATGTTTATTTGAATTTCGCGGGTATGACCCTACTTCAGCAACGTTGCCAAGTCCTCAACACAGTTCCAATTACCATACAACTACCGACACATCCAAGACTTTATTATCAAATATCTTCCTGGAATGTTCAACATGGTACAAGGTTTAATTCAGTATCAAAAAGCTCGGGATGTATACTTTCAGTACCTAATTTTTTATTAACAGTTCCAATTTCTGTGAAAAGAAAAAATACTTCCGGCAAGAAAAACTGAATTTTTGACAAGCTTTTTCTTATTTATTTTATCGGCGATCTAGCCTCAAATGTGTTGGGTGTGTGCATTTTGTTCTACTAAACAATCTGTATGAATTTTATTTAATTATCTAGTCTTTCGAATTTAGCACGAACCACCTTAAGTATACGCATACCCAAACGAAATTCCAATGCAATTCCGTTTGAAAACGAAACCAGGTATGAAAAAATTATTTTATGTTTCCGTCTTATTTTTTCACTTATTGTTAGAGTTACCTTTCTGTTACACCAACAACGGGACGTCCTATACAACAACATTAAAATTTAATCTTACCTTAGCACCAACATTTCGCCAAGGCTTTTTACTTCCTGAACTTATTGTTCCATCCGGAAAAACGCGTATACCTCCGACCCCAATGCCAATAGAGATGTAAAACTGGTTAAAATAGAAAATACTATAAGAAGTACTATAGATTCATTTCTAAAAAGTATAGAATGTTCATTTTAATATATACTCAAATACATGTATGCAAAAGTAGTGGCCGTTTGAAGTAAGTTCCACGTACTTCAATAAAATCTAAAAACAATATCAAGAGGCCTCGTACCTGCCTCAGTAGAGTTATTTATAAAATAAAAGAGTTTTATAAAATACATTTTTTTTAAATAAAACATTTTTTTTATGGTCATGTGTTAGTCAAGTAAAATAATTCTACGAAAAGAGGCAATATAAATTATTAAGAAACACTAATATTCGGCGCCAACTATTTTTCGGTCTTGATGCCTTCTACTCTGTGGTCTTACAGTGTCCGCAACAGTATTCCATGTTTTTTGTATATGGAATACCTGGAATATATTGTGTGTCATTTTTACAATTTGTTTCTAGAGAATACCATTTTAAGTATTTCGTATGTAATTCCATTGATTAAAAAAATAAGCATCATTGCAAGTACGAACAAAAAAGGTTTATTGTTGCACACATTAGTATGTAAGTATTTTTTCATTCTCGAATCTCTTTCGATCATGCCATTCTTTTCCTACGTTCGGCGAAAATAGAAATCTCGCGAAATCACAATTATATTGGGGGACATGAGGCAACAGCATAACAAAACTGTCGATAAGTTCCGGCAACAGTGCCCTTGCGTAGCAAATACACGAACCCAACTTGATGGTAACGGGGAACAAAATTTATTTCTGGTACTGTCGTTGGATGTCGTATCATCAAGCCGTCCCAGTTATCGATTATGTGTTTCCGCTAGCGGCCGATTGTTTACTTCAGCACGTCGATCGATTCGGAGTTGGCCCCAAAGGATTCTGCCCTTAAGTGTGATTTTTAAGTTCACCCGCTGTTTGCCGGCTGTATGGTATATTTATAGAATATACAGCAGGTAAGCGATCGCCCGATGCTGACGCACACATTGCCATGAACGTGTACGTATAGACGAAATGTAATGAACTAGTCGGAGCACTTTTTCGTGAATATCTTGAAAACTAAAAGAGACCGCCTATTATATGTATAGGAAAAAGTTGTGCAGAATGATGGCCTTGATAACATATTTCAAATCGGTGCTGAGCACCATGTTCTCAATAATTACCAAGTATAAAGCACCGTATGGAGCCCCAGCTAGATACGACACCTAACGCGTGAGCTACCTTAATCGTTTGAGTCCCAAGCAGCGCGATCGCACTGTTCAGATTTTATGTCGAGAACACCCAGCACATTTCGAGCATTGTGGACAACTGACGGTGCGTCATCGACTGTCAAAGTCGTGCGCTCAGATTTCCTGACGCAAGTAAATCACACAGCTCCTTCTTTTAATGTAAATAATACATTTTACAATAGATAGAATACCATAATAATAGTGCAATAATACATTACAAAATAAGACATTTTGTATTTCATTGTTATCTTCTCAATAATTTTTATCGAACAAAACTTGAAATATTTATAACTTTACAGTACGCATATGTAATAATACAGATGTATTTCATAAAATAAGGAATTACAAATTAAAAATATTTTTGTGTTATGAACAAACAATTTATCGACATAAAATAAAAGAAGCGCTATCACGCCGCTTGGGTCTTCTCGTACTTATTTAGAGAAGCGCGGTTGCACTGTTCGGGATTCTTCGACAGTGTTTTTTCAATATCCCCTGGGACTCAAACGGTTAATAGCCCTGGCCCACAAGAAACTTAGTCCGTGCTTGACTTCGATAAAATAAACCAAAACCACAATATGAAATTAAATGTGACGGCCATTACTTCTGCGTACACCTAACAGTAAGTAATTGTGTTGTAACTTTTTTTAATGTTAATTAGGAAATATTTCCAGTTAATTGAGAACTATAAAATTGTATATAGTATTAGTATATGTAATATGTATAGTAAAAATTATTATATATATACTTCTTCATCGAATGGTGCCAATTTGTTAAAATTATTGTTATGTAACCATCCATCTGTTTCAGGATCCAGTTCACCAACTTCTTCACCATCGACAGAAAATCGAAATCCGTTTGTGTTCCATGTTGTTGTGTAAATATGAAAGCCTTGTGTCCATTTTGGACCAGATTCTCGTATTTTAGAAACCATATAGTCGTTAACATGCGTATCTGTACCAATTCGGAACCCAAAATCCAATTTTCTTGAATCGAAGATGGTTCTGTTGGTAACATCAATTAAATTACCATTTCCCCGGGCCAGACCGAGAACAATGCATCCGCTTGAATATCCAGTGCCATAAGTATCATATTTTGGTTTCAGATACATTTCTGTTACAATTTAAATAATGTATAATGTCGTCCATAATACGCACCTTAAATCTTATTATCAAAATAAAATCTTTGTGAATAAATAATAACAATTCATCGATTTGTTTAGATATGGTATGTATGTACTTGACATGAATTAAATCGTAAGAAAACAATACTATATATCATGTGAATCATATGATACTTACCTGGATATAACCAGTCGCCCTCAGGAAATTTTGCTTTTATCTCAATTTTACCATATCTAAAATTAAAGCTATGTTTTGTGGTTAATTTAATTGCTAGAACTGGAGGCAAAATGTTGTATGCTGTAGCTTTCCGCATACATTCTTCTGATATTTTGCTGGTACAACTATAATAAAAGAAGATATTTACAACTATTAATTAAAATAATATCTCTAAATGTTTACAAGAAAATATATAAAAACTGCAAAACAATATTAATGATCTAAGTTGAACTTGTTTGCATTTGCTCAGTACTGTTGCATACCAACGTTAATCTTATTCATATAATATTAGTGTTTTGACCAGCTCGTGAGTGGTGGAGTGAGTTTGGGCCACCAAAAAATGAAGAGTGCTGTCAGAATGTTCGTGCAAAGACACAGTTTATTCGCCTGTAGGCTCATGTCAGGAAGTATTTTCACAGTCAAGATTATGGCACAAAACGATAACGAATATAGCTGATGGACAAATAACAATACTGTCTGGGTACGTGTTATCGCTCGTGGAAAGTCTCCATATTCCAATATTCGTCATCCAATATTCTCCTGACTTTGATTTGCGCTCAGGTCGCGACGATTGACAGTACGTGTAACCGTTGGCCCGCCAACGGTTCGCACGAGTTTTTGAAGAGAGTGAGCCGCCGAATCGCAGAAACAATTGGTATTAGTCATGCCGTTACTTTCCGATAACTGTTTCGAACCTAGCGAATCAATCTTCAAACAGTGAACATCCCAGATTATTTCCTCTATGATCTCAACCTTTCGAACTTCGCCGTAAATGTCTCATCCCTTACTAATTATTAGACACAAGATATCCTCAACTCTCCAAATTACGAAACCTATATGTATCATGTATCTCTATGTAAAAGCAGCATTATTTCTCCAAACACACGCCGTATAACTGTCTAGAACCGACTTTGTATTATATCTATTGTACGTGTAAATGTATTTCACTTTAAATTCCGTGCTTGTACTGAGTTCTTATTAAAAATAATAAAATAATCAGTCAACGGAATACAACATAAGTTTTGGCAACGAGGATGGGGTGTCCAGCACTTAACACACAATGCAGATAAGGGAAATTACCCACTCTACCTTGTGGGCTGAGTGGCAACGTTCAAGTTGCTGAGAATGTGGACATCGAAGAGATGAAATACAAGGAAGCAACGTACCTGAGGAAAATTCCGTAACCTGGTTGGAAAATACTGGACCCAGCGACGCCAGCACCGATTGCAAAGGATAACTTCCACAATAAGTACTCCTTACATATAATTAATAATTAATAGATAATTCTTTTCCTTCTGTTCTCATAAATTTGTTTAATTCCTACGTAACCATGCCTAATAACGTAAATCACGCACCACAAATTACGTATGAACTGTCATTTTTTATTAATCTAATCCCCGTAACATTTGACGGTGATCCATATAAAATTAGTAATGAAGAGTATTATGCTGTGTTTAAATAATCTACACAGTAATTCGGATATTTATTTATTTATGGTTTGTGCGGTCAAGATTCATGTAAGAACTGCTCTTGACGTTGTCAGAGATACAAGTGAAGTCTCCCGACGTTTCTTCTTTTCGGGAAGCTCGCCAAACCCGGAAGTTATCCTAATTGGTTAATGTAGCGTACAGGCATTAACCAATCAGGCGCTTCCTAACATTCCCAATCACGCCACCTATTTCTTGCGCCCTTAGCGCGCTGCCTCAGGAACAAGGGTGTGACTTGGCGGGAGTGAGACCCATGACGGAGGTTTGGCAACGCAGCGGAATTTCCTCGAGGTCCCCAAGGCGCGTGACGTGGCCGATCGCTGGTCATCTGGCCCCGTTTCGCAACCCTTCGGAAACTCGAGGTTTATGACACCCGCTTAGCTATTGAGGCTCTTAACGAGTTTCTAAAGGCAAAAATGTGCATTGTATAAAACTGCAAATGAAAGCGGAAAGAAAACGGCTTTCTCAAAAATAGCTCTACTGGCGCGGGTATCATAAAACTCGCCAACCATTGGCACGCCAAATATTCTTTCTTTGTACGTGCCGTTGGCCGCTACAGTAACATTGTAAAATAAGTTGACGGAGTTGTTTCGAGCCAGGTTCGCGAGCAGCGCGAGAGGTTGGCGGAGTAGGTTTTCCAAGGAATATGGTTCATCAGTTTGTTATTGAGGTGCGCGAACGAATCTGATGCGAAATCAGGGAGCCGCAGGAAGGTGAAACTCGTAAACGAACCCGATGCGAAATTAGAGAGTTACTAGGGTGAGATTGTGCAGACGAACTCTGCACACTAACCAAGGGGGTAGTAGTAAATCCCCCGACCGGGGCGGTTGATGACGTGAGTACCTGACCTCTGTCGCGGAAGGTGGTCACACTCTGGAAGCCACATGTTTAACGTGGGTGAACCGATCGCAACCGCTGACTGGAGCCAATGTAGGGGTTGAACTTGGGTAAGCGGACGTGGGGACACGAGGGCTGGAAGGGTCTCGTCCGGGCACGTCGCCTGGGCGAGAACTCCGATGGAGCTGATGTTCCACCAACACCAGGGCGAGCTTGCTCGTCTGGTGAGAGGAATTTCGGCGAAGTTGGGGGCCCGACCGGCTCAAAGTCCACTCACCGCACCTCCACGTGGGGTCCCTGGGCCTCCGCCTCAGTAGTTGGATATCGCTCCGGCGAATACTAATTTGCTGGACGCGGAGGGCGAACGCGGTGAGCTGGCATTTGGACGGCAAACGGCGACGAACTGGGCAAGTCGGGAGATGGGCTGGTCCACCCGCAAGGACTTGGGATCATGACAATGACAACGAACGGATCAAACGTTTACGGTGCAGGGGGCGTCGGATCCACCAGTACCGGCGCGGAGGGTGGTGGCCAACCGGCCCCCCCCCGCGTCGTTATCCATCGACCGGGAGAGCAGTGTGGTAGACCGCCAGGCCATAGTGTTCAGCACTGCTACTGGTGCAGAGGCGTCAGGGGCGGGCACATCGTTTGCTCCTGAGCCTGGAGGGAGGAGGGACATCCCCGTCGCTGCGCCGGGACCGTCTGGGTCGGGCGGCGTCCCGCGGGTGCTGCTGCTGAGGATTCGGCTGCAGCGTCACGCGGGCGGCAGGAGCCGATGACCCAGAACGGCCAGCGTCGACGTTTGCTTGTCGCTCAGCGACGACAACGACTCGGACGCGTCGTCGACGGTCTCGGCGGCGTCGATTCGCTCTGACGCTGTCGGGCCTGGCGCGGCGACGGGGCGCAAGCGGGGGCGCCCCCCGACGGCGGGGGAGTACGTCGGCCTGGCGGAGGCCAAGAAGCGGCTCCTGGAGCTCACGCTCCAGGAGCGCCAGCTACAGGAGGAGGCAGCGGTCGAGGACCCGACGGTGCACCGGCGTCCGGTGAGTCGGTCGTGTAAGCCGCTGTCTTCGGAGGACGGACTGGCGACAGAGATGCGGCACGCCCCGAGGGCGGACCTGGGGGCGGTCATCTTCGAGAGGGTGGCCGTCGTCCAGAGGGTTGCGGAGTCGAGCCGCAACCTTAAAGGCACGTTCGTCCGCTCGCTGCGGGAGGCCGCGCTATATATTAAGTACGCGGCCGCCGAGCAGGCGAGGCGGGCGACGTGCTCCGGGAGGGAGGCCGAGCTCGAGCGCGAGCTCAGGGAGCTCCGCGCTCGACTCGCGGCCGCGGAGGCGCTGTCGCGCGTGCGCCACGACGGGGCGGCGGCTGACGCGACCGGGGCTGACCCCCCGGACGCGGTCGTTGTTATGCCGCCGCCCCCGCCTCCGGGGCCGGCCCCGCTGCCTGGCCCGAGCCGTCCTCGGCGGTCCGCCTCCGCCCGCGCCTCCGCCGGCGCCGTTGGCGTCGGCGGCGGAGAAGGGAGGATCCGGCCGGGGGGAGGCCATGGTTGCGGACTAGCTTTCCCCCCTATGGTCCGGATCCTCCAGGCCAACCTTAACCACGCGGCACGGCCGCAGGACTTGTTTGTCCATAGCCTGGCCGAGTTGGGGGTTGGCCTTTTCGTCGCCGCCGAGCCGTACCGCGTCCTTGACCGCCCCGATTGGGCGGGGGACGTGCTGGGCTCCGTGACGGTGGTCGGCGACGGGGCCGCGCCCCTGAGCGTTTTGTCGCGCGGGTGCGGCTTCGTCGCGGCGCTGTATGGGCGCCTCGCGGTGGTCGGGGTGTATGCCCCTCCGAGCATGCCCCTCGCGGCATTTGAGATGCTGTTGGACGGGATCCGGGACTTTGTGTACCGTGATCCGACTCGTCCAACATTGGTCCTGGGGGACTTCAATGCGAAGTCTACCCTCTGGGGAGGCCCCAGG